GAAAGAGCACTGGACTTAGAACTGGAAGATCTGGTCTGACCTCTCGAGGCCTGCAAATTGCTAACAAAACCTTTACTTGCTATTTTACAGGGTGATGTAAGCTGTGTGGAAATATTTTTAAAAGTCCTATGCAGTTTCAAAGTATCACTTTAAAGAGACAAACTATTAGGTCATCGGGAAAGGGATGATATATTTTTCTATGCAAAAATGCATCATGACTTTCCCCACAACCAAGTTTTAGGAAAAAAAAGTAAACATTTTAAAAAACAAAGGCCTAAACTCATTGATGTGACAGATTTTTATTTTGGAAGAGAGTTTTTTCCTTACCTTCAACTTACGAAATGTAAAGAGTAACACCATTTACTCATTTTCCTCTATTTCAGGTGCGCATAATTTGCTCTGCGTCAACTCCTATATCAAGCTTATTTTTGCATGAACATCATGACAGTGAGTTGGAGCAAAGCAGAATACTGATGGATGATTTGGGGCTGAGCCAGGTAGGCGATATTAACATAATCTCTTTTTATTATAAAACAGCTTAATTGTTTTTGGTGTGATACGCGGCTACAGTCCGAAGAAGGAATGTAGAATACAGTTAACCACTGATTTGCTGCTTTCTTCCAAAGCCAGCGCAGCGGACTTAGCATTCGTACTAAATACGAAGAATTACCATTTTAGAGTACAAAGTACCTTAGTGATCATGCAGTCCAATGCATTGTTTTGCACGTGACAAAAACAAAGTTCAGAGAAGTGAACTGATGGGTCTGGAGGCACACTGCTGAGTAACGGCAGGCCAGCACTAGACACCAGGACACCTGCGTGTGGTTTCAGGATTGCTCTGCGACACTGCGCTGCCTCTTCTGGATATTCTTCGCGGCTGCTGGCTTTGCGGAGTGCAGGATGCAGTATCCACGTGTATGGACTGGCCAGTCCAGGATCCAGCAGTGCCTACCAAAGCCCTTGGCTTAAAAAGAGATCTACACTTCATCTCCTACCCTCTATTCAGCAAGCACTTATGCAACAACTGTGGGTGCCAGCCCCTGGGGACACTGTGTGAGGAACAAACTGATGCTGGCCCAGCGGTCCTTGCTGTCCAGTGATTCACCCCAAGCCATTCAGATGTGGCTTTGGATTTCCTTCTTCTGTATGAACCTTACAGGGTATATTTGCCAATTTCCTATAATTGAAATGTTTTTCAAAATTTTTAACTCCCCAACAATAAGGAGAGCTCCAGTCTTTCAACTCCAGAAGTAAATGGTTATCTGGAATAAGAAAACAGTTCCATATTTACCTGAGTAGAAACTAAACATTCTCAGGAGTTTGGGATAATAAGCTCAGTAATCCTTTAAAAAGAAAACTTTTTTTTTTTTGAGAGGTTTTTTTTTTTTTTTTCGCTATAGGGCGCGTGTGTTCGCCAGACAGACAGAGAGAGACGTAGAAACAGAAAGCGAGAAATCACCCCCCAGGGGGGATGGTCACGCCGCAATCCCTTCTCCTCCATTCTCCTCTCAGGATCTTGGGTACGCATGCACATGCGCCCGGCGTGAGTTTTAAGCCACCGGGTCCGGGACACGAACCACGGTCGACTACGTGGGAATCCAGCAACATAGCCATTATGCTAACTGCTGGTTCCCTAAAAAGAAAACTTTCAAATATGATTACTTAAACCTATGTCTGAGTCTGTTCAGACTATTATACCAAATTACCATAAACTGGGTAGCTTACGAACAACAGAAACATATTTCTCATTTCTGAAGGCTGGAAAGTCTCAGATCAAGGTGCCAGAACTGATGTCTGGTATAGGCCCACTTCTTCTTTCAGAAATGGCAGTCTTTTGATATAAACCTCCCATGGTTGAAGGAGTGAAGGATAACTCAGGGACCTCTTTTATAAGGGGACCAATCTCATTCATGAGGGCTTCCCCCTCAAGACCTAATCACCTCCCAAAGACCGCACCTCCCAGTACAATCACCTTGAAGGTTAGGATTTTAACTTAAGAATTTTGTAGGAGTACACACTTTCAGACCATAGTGGTATAGAAATAGATAAATTACTTATAAATCCCTGTGCTGAGACCTCTTGAAATGTTGGTTCTTTAAGAGCAATGCTTACATCCTAGTTCTACTATAGCCATTTCACAGAGTACACTTGAGGAGTTATATTAGATCAGTTCTAAAGTTCTCTAAATCATTGGCTCTTGAGTTTTTTCCTCTAGGGACAGGGTTTAGACATAGGCCAAAGAAAGATCAGCACTAGAGACCAATCATATATGAAGAAATCAGGGAATATGATGTCAGGGCATGAAGGTTCATAGTAGATCAATAAGATGGACTTGGGAGTCCAGAGTTTTTCTCTGAAAGAGCTTGATAGCAAACTTCTAAGGGAAGAGAAGGAGATTCAAGGCCCACTTACTACACGTGAGTCCATATTGGTATTACCATCCCGAGCTGTTCACCAGCTTCATGGAGACAGGGCTCCCCATCTTAACCCTAGATGGGGGAATCAAGTATCTTAGCAGCTGAGGATGAAAGGCAGTCCTGGCATTTGAAAAGTGAGATTTCATTCACCTTTTGTAACACCCACTGTGACGTGTCAACTGACCAGTTTGCAAAAGGTTTTCAGAAGTTTGTCTTTAGGGACCCCTTAAGCAGGGGAACTCTGTCTGTGAAGCTCCAGAGGCCATGTCAACTTCTTCCTAAGAGAACTGCTATTCTCTGCCATTAATGAACCCTTTTAGAGAAAGAGTTCCTATTAAGACTGGAATGTCTTTCCTTCAGATTTTGTAGTGAGCTTTTATTCTGAGCAAAATCTCATAGCTGAGGGACCAGCAGTTAGCATAATGGCTATGTGACTGGACTCCCATGTAGTTGACCACGGTTTGAGTCCTGGACCCGGTGACTTAAACTCACGCTGAGTGCGTGTGCGTGTGTGCCCAAGATCCTGAGAGAATGGAGGAGAAAGGATTACAGTGTAGTCATGCCCCTGGGGGGTGATTTCTTGCTTTCTGTCCCTCTGTCTCTCTCTGTCTTCTGGCAAGCACACGCGCCCTATAGCAAAAACCTCTCCAAAAGCAAAAACAAAACAAAACAAACTCATAGCTGGATTTGTTGGCATTATTTTAGCTTTCTTTATTTTTTTCAATGTTTCCTCTCTAAGTTTTCTTCCTGGCAATGAGCTCTCCTTATTTTCTATCAGTTTAAATTAGTTGACTCACTAAGGTGAGTTTAAAAGATTATATATGAAAAAAATTATAATCTGTTAGGTTGTCTGAAAAGTCATGACATATTTTTCTATTTTTCTATGCAAAAATGCATCATGACTTTTCGATGACCCAATAAATAGATAAGCTTCAAAAAATTATTGTAACCAGTACTTAATTCTGTAAACTGCTGTTTGTGGTGGTTTTAAGTGGTGCTGGGTATTAGTTGGTTTGTTTGTTTTCATAACCAGGGCTCAGCGGAAGACCTTGCCATGTTTACCGGAGAAGAGGAAATCTTTGCGTTTCAGCGCACAGTCTCCCGACTCACAGAAATGCAGACTGAGCAGTACTGGAATGAAGGGGACAGAAACAAGCAGTAACTGTCACTTTCACATGAATAAAACTCTAGACAAATGGTTCCTTAATGCAAGGAGAACTTTTATTATGGGACTTGAAAGAATCATTTTCTCATCATTAGGCACTTTGTCCTCTGGACCATTTGATATAAAATTGCTGCCGAAGATGTCATGGATATTGGGGATTAGTAAGTTAAAGACTTAACCATTTTTGTGGTCTACTTTTGCCTGTTTGTCTGGCCTTATTTCCGCACTACAAAATTAAAATCATCACTCCTGAAGATAAATGTATGACCAGGCATTTCAGCGTCACATTAAACCACCTGGGTGAACCTGAATCAGCAAACACCGCCTGGATGCAGGGTGTCTGGACCACTCCCGGCTCTTGTAGCATCCTTAGAGACGTGTTAGCAACACAAGAGGGAAAACGAAAAAACACCCTACATTTCAATTCCAAACAAAGAAAGCTCTCTGAATAATATTCTAGAATATGGGTTTATACTTGTGACTTTTCTTCTTGCTATGAATTATACCCAGCCTCCCTGGCCACCAGGTTTCCTCGGGATGGAAAGAGTATGCTTTTTGTCCTGAATTCAAGCTGGGCAGGCAGGACCTGATCTCAAGCAGACACAGAGTTGCCGGAAACAACTGAGGATTAGGACACCTTCAAAGAAGAAACAAATATCAAATCTCAACTGCTAGGCAGATCGGCAGACAGATCCCCCACTCCGACAGCTGTGGGAGGGTAGTATGCAGGAGTGGGGACTGGAGAGAGTACGGGGAGGCAGGGGCAGGCAGAAGCAGCAGAGTGGCTCCTGCTGGTCTGAGACCCGCAGGCCCCTCAGACAGCAGGCTCCTTCTCAGGCTGGCAGGCATTTGCCATTGCAGGATGTGCTCCCACCGGTACCGCCCCTGACTCTGTGGTGAGATGGATCTAACAGGAAATAGGGAAGAACACTCCCCAAAGCTACTTGAATAAATCTGATTTGCCCTTCATTGAACTCACGGCTTGATTCATTTAAGTAAAACCCGACTTCACTGTTTTCACAGAGCGGATCTTGATTAAAGCTGAAAGTCTAATAAACTCATCTTCTTCCAAAAAAAGAAAAATATGAAATCCACAAAATCCTTGTGAAAATCAGCATTTTAGAGAGGTAGGCAAGGGGGAGTTCGGTCACTGATTAAAACTGTCTATATAACTAGCCTCTTTGCACTATTTAATTGATTCGTTAGTAATCCAAATAGATTCGTCTACTTTTTTATATTAACCTGTTTAAGTTAAGCAGATAGATGGATTGGTATCGAAGCATAGAGAAAAGTTTAATTTAAGGCTTTTTAAAGTTACATGTGGCTTAAAATATTTTCATTGAAGTGAAACACAGTGAGTTTCAAAGAGGTTTATAGCAGGAAGAAAGGCTGGGAGATGAGCACTATGTGGCAGGGTTAATGCTAGATATTTATAGCATTTCAGGAAAAAAAAATAGACCCAGAAAGGGTATGTTTTACAAATTAAGTAACTGAAGTTTAGAAAAGGTAAGTAGCTTGACCTGTTTATAGTTTACGGCTACAAAAGTCATACGCTGTGTTTTATACCATACTGCCTCCCTCCTGCTCTCACTTAAAAAGTCACTTAAAATATTGATTCACAGGGACCAGCAGATGGTGTGGTGGTTAAGGCACTGGACTCCCACATGGTGAACTGCAGTTCAAGTCCTGGACCTGATGGCTTGCTTTCTCATTTGTTCTCTCTCTCTCTCTTTCTCTCTCTCTCTCTCTTTCTCTCTTTGTCTCCCTCTGGCCAAATTAAAATAAGTTAATGAATAAATAAAATTAAATAAAAAATTTTTTAAATTTTTTTTAAAAATAAAAGGGAACCAGCAGTTAGCATAATGGCTATGTCGCTGGACTCTCACGTAGTCGATGCCTGCTCCCGTCCTTGGCCTGGTGGCTTAGAACTCATGCCGGGTGCGTGTGCGTGCGTGCCCAGGATCCCGAGGCCCAGGATCCCAAGAGGAGAATGGAGGAGAAGGGATTGCGGCATGGCCATCCGCCCTGGGGGGCGATTTCTCGCTTTCTATCTCTATGTCTCTGTCTGTCTGTCTGGTGAGCGCATGCGTCCTATAGTGAAAACCTCTCCAAAAAAATAAATAAATAAAAAATAAAATAAAATATTGATTCATGAGGCCAGCAGATGGCATGGTGATTAAGGTATTGTACTCCCATGTGGTGAACCACAGTTCAAGTCCTGGATCTGACAGCTTGGAAATCATGCCAAGCACATGTGTGTACATGCCCAAAATCCCAAAAGGAGAATGGAAGTGAAAGGATGAGAGCATGGCCATCCCCTTAGGGGGTGATTTCTCACTTTCCCTCTCTCTGTCTCTCTCTGGCAAGAGCATACAACCTAAAGCAAAAAACTGGGGGAAAAAAATCACTTTTTTAAAAAAACATTTATTTATTTATCTATTTGTTTGTTGTGATTTTCAAGCCACCGGGTTCAAGATTTCAACCACAGTCAGCCATGTGGGAATCCAGTGCTTCACCCACCATGCTACCTACTGGCCCCATGACTCACTTTTTTAACTCAGTGAAATGAATTTACCATTGCTTTGAACTCAATAAATATGTTTAACTTTATTCTTTAAATCTTAGCTTTTTACTTTGTACATTTCTTTGGCAATTATTCTGTTCCTTCATAAAAAGACAATATGAATGTATAGACAGACAGATGGACAGCGTGACTGACAGAAAGAGATGGGCCTGTCCATCACGCACTGGTTAGGCACTGTGCAGAGGAAGATAGATACCACATGGAGGACAGTGGTGTAAATCCCAAACCCGTCTGATTGAAAAACATACTGGACATCCTGATGAAATGGAAAATTGGAAGAAAAAGGATTGTGGCATGATCAGTCCCCACTGGAGGTGTTCTCTCTCTTTTTCATCCATGCATAGGCCATGGAGAAGGAAAAGAAAAACATGTCAGGGGCTCATGTGTTCAGGATCCCGGTGGGCTGAAGATTGGAGGACTAGCGAGCTAGAGGAAGGGGACTGCGTCGTGACTGAGCCCTGTGGAGGATATGACTCTCTATATATGTGTCTTGTGTGTGCATGTGCTCTATCATGAATAAATAAATAAAATTTGAAAAAAAAATAGAGGGCTATTCAGCTGAACTATGGAGTTGGCCCTCTACCTTTCAAAATGAAACCTAAAATAGGGAGCCAAATCCTACATGGCCAACCGCAGTTTAAGTTGTGGTCCTAGTGTCTTCAAAAACATGCCAGGTACATGAGCATGCATACATGCCCCAAACCGTGATGAGATGGAGAAATGGAGGAAAAAGGATTGTCCCCACTGGGGAGTGCACACACACTCTCTTTTTCTCTATAGTGAGTGCATGCATCCTCTTGACAGTAAGACAAGAAAAGAAGGAAGGAAAGAGAAGAGAAAGAAAGAAGGAAAGAAAAAGGAGAAAAGGAGGAAGAAAGGAGGATAGGTAGAACTGGTGGAGCTGCCGCTTACGCCTGGGTGTACGTATGTGTGTGGTGGTTACACTACCACCAAAGTACTGTTGTCAAAGTCCATTTGAGGTCAAGTATTTGAAATAAAACTTTATTTGAAATTAAACAATATTTTTCTACTGAAACAACAATGTAATGTTAATTAGGTTCCTGGTTCAATGCACAAAAACCTATACAAGTCTCAGTGTAGCTGCCCTATAATTTTGATACTAAGGAACGTAAATACTTTTTAAAATGTCATTCCTACAATTTATAGATTCTATCTAAGTAACTGGAGCACGTGCCCACTCTGTCTCCATCTCCTGTCTATTCTTCCAGACTGATCCAGGTCTCCTGCTGTAGCTCTTTGGATCTGGTGGGACAGGTCTCTGTGGAGGAGGCTTTCTGGGCTAGGAGTACAGTTTATGCAGAGACTGGACTGGAAGGTTTTGGCCAAGCTCAGCCTGACATTAGGAGGGGAGAGGAAGGAGTTCCACAGTAGCTGGAAATTATACATCTCTATCCTGATCTCAACAAAAAGACTGTCTGGTAAAACAGCATGTAAATGAAAGAACTAAAGTCTTGATTTTTAATATCATTTTGTTTTTAATTTTAAGTTTTATAATAACATAATTTACAAATGAGCTGGGAAAAGCATCATTACTAATAACACATATACAGTAGTTCTACAGTTTTTATGTGGTTTTGAATAGTTGTCTAAAGACAATCCTGGGACTGGGACCAGCAGTTAGGGTAATGACTATGTCGCTGGACTCCCATGTAGCCAACCACAGTTTGAGTCCCAGACCCGGTGGCTTAAACTCATGCCAGGCACATGTGCGTGCGTGCCCAAGATCCTGAGAGGAGAATGAAGGAGAAGGGATTGCGGCGTGGCCATCCTCCCTGGGGGAAGGGGAAGTGATTTTTCACTTTCTATCTCTCTGTCTTTCTGGTGAGTACACACGCCCTATAGCAAAAACCTCTCCCCCAAAAAAAAAAAAAGACAATCCTGGGACCTGCAGATGACGTAATGGTTACGACGCTGGACTTCCACATAGTCGAACACTATTTGAGTCCTGGACCCAATGACCTGAAACTCACAATGGGTGTGTGTACATGTGTGACCAAAATCCTAAGAGGACAATGGAGGAGAACGGATTGTGGTGTGTCCATCCCCACCGCGGGTGATTTCTCGCTTTCTGTCTCTTTAGCAAGCATATGTGCTCTGTAGCAAGAGTCTCTCTCTCTAAAAAAGAAGACAATCCTGAAAAATAACTGTGTCTGACTATAATAAAAAAATTCAAAAGTAAAGTTTAACTTGCTATTAAATCTCATCATGATGACTTTCAAAATCATCTGACCTTACAAATCATTTGTAAAATATTTGAAGTGTTACATATTCTTTATTTGACACTGTACATAAACCACACTAAAATTTCTTCCAATAAGTAAAAGACAGTGTTTCAGATAAAGGGAATTCTAATGAGATTGGCATAGGTAAGATGAAAAATATAAAGCAGACATTGCTACCTTTTCTTTAGCTCTTACCTTTAACAGCTTAATGAACACAAAAATCATGCAGGTTCACCTGCATGATTCTGAGAGGCAAAGGGATTTCTCCAGCATTTATTGATTCATGTAACCAGTTACATATAAGCCTAAATAAAAAAAAACAGTTTCCAGTAGATTTCAAGATGGCATTCACCATCTTTGTAAGAAAGACAAGTTTACAAGTTTACTTTTATA